ATACATATTTTATATCTATAAGATGTGCATTTTTAGCATTTCTATCCCACATGTGTTACATATACATGAATGTTTTACGTCTGGTCATTTTATTGGAAATTGATGCTGGTACCCTTTTGTATCTGCTCTTTTATGGGATGTTTTCATTGTGATATGAAAAACATGAAAAGAAGATCTTTGTAAGCTCTAGAATCAAACAGGACTTGGAAAGTATATATGCATACTTAGAAAATGCCAGATTCATTCAATGAAAAGTAAAATAGGCTATTATTAAAATTAGAATCTAGGTAGGTGCCCAGATGTGCTCTCTGAAAGCAGTCATGACTCTTGTCAATGTGTAATTTGTTACTGTGTGCTTTCTAGTCAATTCTGATTCAAAGTGACCCTGTAGGACAGTATGGACTGGCTGCAGAAGGTTCCCTGGGCTGTCATGTCCCTGTCTCCTAGGCTCCCCAAGAGGTAGGGCTTGTCAGGAGACCAGTACATAGTAGTCGTGTACCTCATTCGGAAGCTGTGAGAAGAGCAGGCAGCAACAGCTGCTATGGTGGTAAAATATGTTGGTATCTCAGATTTTTAAAAAAACTAACACTCCCCTAGGTAATACAGGGAACTCGGGTGGCCTGAAGATAGGGAGCTGTACTGCTGTCCCAAAGGGATATAGTTCGAATCCACCAGATGCCCCAAGGGAGATAAGTGGACAGTCTCCTTTTATGCGATTTCCTGCCCCTGAAACCCCACTAAGGGTCAACTGTGAGTGGGTTCTGATCTGATACACAACAATAACAACAACACACGTGTTAGCTAGCCAGTTTCTTTTCCTTTTTTTTTTTACTTTAAATTTTTCTTTTTATTACTATTATTTCATGTGTGTGCACCGTCAAATTGGATCTGACTGGTACAGGAGGAGATTGTTCCTCATTTTCCAGCAGAGCATCTGGTGGATTTGAACTGCTCACCTCTGGAATTTCAGTGCAGCTTCTTGCCAGTAGGCCACCGGAGCTCCTGGCTAGTTTCTTTAAGCACACATCTTCTTGATATTTCTGTTGCTTATAGTCTATTATTTATAGCTCTGATAGCACCTTGGTTAAGCATTTAGCTCCTGACAAGAAGTTGAGCTCACTTCCCTGGGCCATTACATAAGGCAAAGAAGTGGTAGCTTATTACCTTGAAAACGCAGGAAAGCACCTTTACTCTGACCTGCAGGGTCTCTGTGAATCGTAATCGACTTGATGGCAACATGTTCAGTGTTAAACATCATTTTGTTGCCTCTGTTTTTAGTTTCTGCATATTAAAACAGTTAACAGTTAACCCTATTATAGAAGTGATTTCATAAAAGGCAAGAGTTTAAATAACTGTCTCCTATCCTCATTTCTCAGATGTAAATGCATGGAACCTCTGAACCCCAGTAATGAAACGCTAAAGCTGTGGAAAGAAAAACACATAACAACAGATAATATTACCTGGGAAAATCTGACTGTGACTGTGAGTATATTCAAAGTAAAGGGTTTCTTTGGACCTCTTTCTTCTTCAGTTTTTCTTAACTAAACATTTATTTTCTTCTGAATCCGTGGGTAGTAATAATTCTTTTAGTATACATATAGTTGCTTCTAGATAGAAGTTAATTTCGGTTTTGTCTAGCATGCCTTAAGTTATCAGTGGGTTAAAATTTTAGATGCTGGACCTAAACTTGTATAGTGAGGGGTGAGTTAGCATCTTTAGTGAGAAAGGAATGGCCCAGTTACTTGTGTGATCTAAGATACAGCGGAGGTGTTAGGAACTGCCAGTGTCACTTTCAATCTTTAGTCCTAACTCCCAACCTGAGAAATAGCTTTAAAATACTCATTCCACTATTAAGACAAAGCGTTCCAACAAACTGCGAAGCATCTGGAGTGGTATCCAGGGCAGTGGGAGCCCAGTGCATGCTCCCGTCTTCCCCCTTTCTCCTTTCTGGGGGCTGAGTCAGCCCATCGTCCGTGACTTCAGCAGAAAAGATTCACGTACTAGTCAGGAAATTAGCACAACACTCTGATCTTCTAAAGAAGCTGTTTTTGGAACAAATGGGCTGACAGTACATGACTGATCGAACTGAGAGCAAATCAGGATTTGCAACCACGGACCGAGTTAACAACTTCCTCTGGATTTTTTATTT